ATAGATGGCGCATCGTACAGCGTCTTCAAAGCTAGATGGTCGCATGAGGAAAACCTTGTTGTAAACCTTGAGTTGTAGTCCTTGTAAGAAGTTATGCATGTGGATGGGGTCGTGTTGCGTGTCCACACCCAGTTGTGCAGCTAGGTCGCGGTAGCGGTCAGCGTACGTCCGTACAGCTTCGCCCCGTTCTTGCCGACAACGAGCTAGCCGGCTAAACAACTCTTCTTGGGTCGGATCGAATCGTTCCAGAAACGCGGCTTTAAAGCTAGGCCAATCGGGGAGAGACGCTTCCATGCCGGCTTGCCAGCAGATGGCCTCATCTCCTAAGCGGCAGATGGCGACGTCCAGCTGAGCCTCTGCGCTCCAGCCGTACATTCGACCACATCTCTCAACCCTGGCGACCCATTGCCGTGCACTGTCTCCCAGCCGGAAGATAGGCACAGACGAGACGCTCGAGGGATGGGGGTGTGTGATAAAGTGAGATTGATGTTGGCTCTCCATGGCGTACGAGACGTACAACCAGTGGGACGCCTAGCAGACTGTTCGAAAGTAGCTAGAGACAGGGCTGAAACCCTAGTCTCGATACCAGCCGCGCCGCGGCGGGCGGCACCCAGCGGCAGCCCAAAAATTTTCGCGTTTGGGGGAACCGCTGGATGGACACACCGGGGCGCCCAGGATCGTTTAGAGAAAGGAATCGATACCAGTAGATTGTTGTAGTGGGATCGGATCGAGATTTGTGTGCGCGAGCGGAAGCAGAATCAGAGTTTTGTCCTGAGACCGTAGGCCCAGGTGTGGTTGTGAGCCTGATGTGAGCAGAGTTTTACTGCTTCTTGGCCACTAGGCCCAATGTCAGCTTGGAACCTGGTTGGCTGTTGACAAGATAAAATGGGTGGGAGTCATCCACGCCAAGTGAAGGCGATATCCGTTACAAACTGCCTTGGCCGGTGCGTCCTGCTACCGTGCGCGGGAGTTGTATGATTGGAATATCCCTCGGAAAACATTGGTCAGGCCGCGCCTTATATATGGTAAACGCGCCCGCCATTCGTACAACTGTCGTATGGTCAACGTAAGACGTAGCTACCCTTTTCGCGCAGCAACTGCTCATTACGCAACGGTAGCTACCCGTTTACGCAGCTCCTGGCCAGGTTCATGGCGGCCAAAGGAAACTGAGAAGAAACTAGTACAGGATATTTTTCATAGAACATTTCTCAGACCGGAGCTAGATCGTAAGACACAAATCGCCTGCTTTTACGCCGCCCGGTCGAAACATACATCGTCAGTCTTTACGTGGTGCGCCGTATGTACATGACCATTCTCAACGCGTTTATAGTTTTTAATTAACGATATGGCAATATTCGACCTCCTGCTATGCCCGGAACGATACGCAACCAAAGCCGTCAGACTCAGTTTTCTATGACTAGCTGGAAGTCGCTACACGGTTTTTTGGTGCCCAAGTGCGCCCACCTAGAAAAGGAATTTCAAACACACGGTTGGACCTTACTCAAAGAGTTTACAAAAAACTCCAGTATCTTCTCCGAACCTAAACCCTGAGGTGGTCGCACCAGGTCCCCAAACTGCAGCGGCAAGTTTCAAGCATGGCTCGACCCCTGCCAGGAAAAGTCCAAGTGTTCTGCACTAGAACCTCTGACTAAAAACACCGCGCTACTACTACCGTGCAACTTTACTAGCACAAAAGCTGTCGCCTTAGTCGACTCAGGTGCTTCGCACGTTTTCGTATCCACCGCACTTGTGCAAAAACTGGGGTTACAGCCCCTCACTAGCCACGTAGCTACTTGCGTGCTAGGAGACGGCGCAAATAGCGTCCGCCTCCAAGGTCAGGTGCATATGTCGCTCCGTATCCATGGATTCCGCTGCGAAATCGTAGCGCAAGTTATCCCTAAGCTAGCCGATGGCATCGACCTAATTCTCGGCAGCCGTTGGATGTGAGAGCACAGTGCATTACTAGACTTTGGACAGGGCACCTGCATGGTGACGCGCCACGGCCGCTCATATCGGCTGCAGAGCCTAAACAGGCCGCAGTCCGCAACACCTTTGAACTACGTGACGGCGGTCTTACACGCGGCCACTTCACCTAGCGCGAACCTGGTGTCTCTAAAGCAGATTAAAAAACTGCAGAAACAAGGAGCGTCTTGTTATGCTGCCTTCATAACCAGTGATGATATCGCCCAGCTAAACGCTATGGACGCCACAACGGCGACCACGTCCAACCCTACCCTGGTGTCGCCAGATAAACTGGAAGAACTGCTGGACGAATATAAGGAGGTTTTTGAGCCCTTAATGGGCCGCGGACCGGATCTCGGCACTGGCCACACAATCGAGCTAGAACCTGGCAAAAAGCCACCGTACTCCGACCGTACCGACTTTCCCAGTTCCCGGAGTTAAAAAAGCAGCTCGCGGACTTACTGGCCAAAGGCTTCATCGAGGAATCAAAATCGCCCTTCGGCACGCCCATACTCTTCACACAAAAGAAGGACGGCTCGCTGTGCATGTGCCTCGACTTCCGCGCCCTCAACAAAATCACCGTAAAAAACCGGTATCCACTTCCAAACATCACCGACCTCCTCAACAAACTTCAGGGTGCGAACATATTCTCGAGGAGGACATCCCCAAAACCAGCTTCATAACACCGTTCGGGACGTTCCAGTACAAAGTACTGTGCTTCGGGTTTTCGAGGCCTTCTGCAGACGCAAAAATACTGAACGAAGTACAAAAATACTTCAGGTTTTTGGCAGCAACGCGCCACCCCCACCTGCGATTCCCGCAGCTGAGCTGTGGACGAGATCCACGCCCACCGGCAGTCTCGCAGCAGGCGCCGCATCACCACGGAGTACCTCGTCAGGTGGCACAAACTGGGCCCCGAGTACGACTCCTGGGAGTCCGCAAAGGACTGCAACCAAGGATGCCCAGAGGCAATCCGCGCTTACCATGGGAAACTGTACGCAAAAGGCGTACCTCTACCCTAAACATCCACCTCACTCAAGGCGCCCCGAGGACGGGTTCGCATTCAAGAGGGGGGAAATGTAACGCCGCTAAGGCGGCCCTTGGCTCACCGGGCCAACGGTCATCGTACCAACGGTACATTCAAGAACTATTCATAATCTTCCAATACCAAACGGTATTTATCAATACCACCTTTTTATCGTTGGATATTTCCCTTCGTAACTGCTTCGCCAACTGCCGAGCTTTGTTACAGCGGCTGTATGATACAGGTCCCAGCGTGCTGAAGTACGGAGGCTTCGGATCATCAAGTGTCAGTCAGCTTCATAGAATTTTCCATAGTTTCCCAAAACTGCTTGAGGGCTGCTATAACGCTTTTGTTGACCTCCGTCTGGGCCAAGCTGTGCTCATGTAGTGGGGGTGCTCACGTGAGGCAATGTGTTAGTCTAACAT